GCAGCCCCCGCCGCCCTCGCCCGCGGGGGACGGGAAGCCCTCGGCCCGGGCAGGGGGGAAACCTGGGGCGTCGTACGCACACGCAGCTCAGGGAAGGCTCTGTGAATATCTTGGGCTTAAGATGCCGCTTGTATTTGCTGAGTTTCCCCAGCCTTTTTTTTTTTTTTTTTTTTTTTTTTTTTTTTCTTTTTCTTGAAAGAAGAATGAATGAAAGAGCGTTACGGGGACAAGGGGGAAGGAAGCTCGGGATTTTGGCACCTTTCTTTGTGGTAGACTGTTTCGTAAAATAAGAGCTTTTTCCCATTTAAACGTAACGAAAAGAGTGGCCACTAGAAATAGTGAAACAAACGGCGTAAAGGTGCAACTACGGCACACGAGTTAGAGGGTGTGGAGGACCAGGAAACGGAATTTTTCCAAGTGAAGAAGATTAAAATGTGGGGACACCTAAATGGGGCAAACCCGAGGAGTTTACAGTGACAGTGAGAATTCAGTGGGCATCCATTTCCAGTCACTCTTCTATATACTCCCAGTTTTCCCACTTGGGGTTTTCACATAGTGCTTTTTATTAACTAATGTTCTTTTACTGACTTTATCATCTTTGCATATATTCTTTCATCCTTTTTCTCCCTCCTGTCACTCCATTCGTTCTGCTGTGAGCTCTTTTTCTTAATCTGTTTCAATGTGATGCGTTTCCCTCTTCTTCTCCCTGTCTCTTCAACTTGTCCATCTTTCTTCTTATGTGTCTCTTTGATTTATATGTGCTCTTTCAACTCCTAATACATAATTCTGGTTTTCTGTTAGATCCCTCACTTTCTAGTTCCTTTACTTTCTTCTGTCCTGCCCACTCCAAACTTTCTGCTGCACCCGTACACCACCCTCACTTGTCCTTGTTTCCAGTCTCTTTCGTCTCCTCTGTTCCCACAGTTCTTTCTCCCTGAGAAATGAAGCCTGTGTCTTTTCCTGTCTCGCACATATGCACACTTGCTTGTTTTATATGAGCTCTTGTTCTCACTCAGTGACACTCGTTCTTGCTACCGTCTCTGGCAAGACTGCTTCCGCAGATGCTCCTCCATCCCTAGGCTGTCTCCCTTTTTGTCTGAAGTTCTTACCTCTACTTCTTCTCCCTCTGCCTCATGCAAGATCACCTCAAACGTATCAAAATACACTTTTTTCTTTCCCCATGTCTGCTTTCATTCTAGTCTTTCCCTCCCTACAGGCAGTTTCCCTTGCCACATGCAGTCCTCCTCTCAGCTTAACAACACGCATCTGTAGCTCCTCTGACTTGTGTATCTCTCCAGAAAGTACTGTATTTTTACTCCATCATTAAGATCTCTCCTGATTATAAATCCTAATCTTTTTTTCTGTCATCTATGCTCTAGTCACTCTTGTTCGTTCCTTATCACAAATGTGCATCTCTGCTTCTGTTTGACTGTAAGCTCTTTGGGGCAGGACTCATGTCTCCTTACACGTTTATGCGGTGTGCACCATGCTCGAGTCTGGAGTACAATTGTGAGACTTTTGTTATATTAAAGTTGCAAATTTCAGAGCGCGCACAGAAGTTGTATCCTCCTTTTGCTCATGTCCTCAGCTGCCTTCTTCACTGATGAGCAGAGGAAGGCAGTGTGGAAGAGAGGAAGTTGCTCTCTGTCTCCTCTCCAGGCTTCACAGGCTGGCCCCCTGCAGCGTATAGGGAAGAAATTCCAGCGACAGAACTTTCTCCTCCCACAGTAGTCTGCTTTGCTGGCATCTGGCTCTGCTGGAGAGACGGGCGGCAGATGGAGCTAGTGTGGGAGGAGAAAAAGATTGGTTTAGTCAAGTGGAATATGAACAGGAGGCCCACTCCAGTCAGAATGAGGTTTTATGAGGAAAGAAGGGAAACACTTTCATTTTTGCCACCTCTTCCATATGGAACACAGTACATTTTGAGGGCAAAGGCAATATTGGGAGCAAGAAACACTGTTGGATGGAATGAAGGATGTGTGTGTGTCTGAGAGAGAGATGAGGACACGTATTTCTCCCTTTTGAAATATGCCATCTCCTGTTCTTCCTCCTAGCCCTTCTGAAACAAAGTGTGTTGTCATATGCCACCACTCCCAGTCTCTTTTCATATTTAAGTCTTTGAGCCACAGATTGCTGGGAGCCAGAAGAGTGTTCCAGGAAATAATCTAGTATTTTCAAGATGTCCTATTACGGGACTTTTCCCTAAGCCACTGCCACTGACCACTGTTGGTGACATGGTGATGGCCTAAACAGACCTGAGCTTTGCCCCAGAACAGCCATTGCCACGTTCACATTGTTTGGGTAATGCTGAAAATTCGATTTTCTTTTTCTTGGGAACAGCAAAGGCTAAAAGCATGGGAAGTTTGAGGCAAAAGACTTGGCAACAGTGTATATGTATTGTGCTGTACAATCTGTGTCAGCACAAGTGCATAACACAGTTGTACTTGATAGTAAATTGTGGAAATATGACAATTTCTTATGACAGTAGGAACAAACATACGAAGTAGGGTTCAGGAAAGAAGTGGTGTATGTTCAGTCACTGAACAAATGCTTAGGATGGTTGGAAAGCAGATTTTTTTTCCATTCTCTCTTGTCTCCAAATAAAGTACAGACAATACCTATTGAACATTATAAAATGTGGAGATCATTTATTTTCTCTTGTTATTCTGTTTCATTTAAACCACATTACCGATCAATAAGCAAAATCTGTACAGCAGTGTAATGGTTTTTTGTTTGTTTCAATGCGGGTTTGTTAGACTGTGAGCCAGGGCAATTCTTAGGAGATATTACTGTAGCTCAAAGATATTAAATAAAAATGTTATCTTTCAAAAGAAAAACACAAACCTGAAGTTTACAAGCTTGTATGAACATTACCATTCTTCTTTACAATTTTGTTGTCCCCTGTACAATTTCTTTTAACCAAACATCTATGTGGATGAAGTCCTCAAGCTTCCGATGATAGATGAGTTGTCAATCCTGAAATCTATTCATGTATGCAGTATTTAATGTAATTTCAGTGTAATAGATGTAGCTGAGTAGAATTCAGATCATGGAGTACAGGACCCAGGAGGGGCACACCTGCAGTGAAGGCTTTGTGGTAGAGCTGCATGAGAGATGATTGTAAACTGATAGTAATGATGAAGTTTAAGATTCACATACTCTTGTGTGTAGGAAGGTTTTAGCATTAGTTTTCAAAGTTCACTGGTTACCAGTGGCATTTTTGTGAGATGTTTCTGACATCATGAGGAAAAGATAAGGAGTACACTGTTAGTTCCCTCTTCTCAGTGCTGAACTATTGGTCCAAAACAATAGCATCAACGAGGAAGTGCACTAGTGGAAGAATATGTCCATCAACATAGAGTTTTTCTACTATTTACAACCATTTCTGTCCACTAGCAGAGGAAAATGTCTATCAGTGAGATAGTGAATGGAATAATAGTTACTAAAACAACATTTAAAATGTAAAATTGAAACACGCATACACAAGATAATTCATTACTAAAAAAAGATAGAGCAACCAACTTCCCCCGCCCCTGGTTTCTCAGTACAGTAATAATATCTTACATTGCTGAGAGAGAACTCCTTTGGGAGTGTTTTATAGATGGTCTTTCACAAGTATCATCCATATAGACTATATATGTATTTATATGTTTTCCTAAAACCAGTAATATTGTACTCTTTGAGCTGGTATTACCCTGTGAGTTTATCTTCTAATGTTATCTGTTAGTGTATGTATATATATAAATAACAAGTATGTGTATATTTAATTTACGATTAAATATTCAATAATGAAAAAATCAAAAAACAATGTCACCATTTTGTTAAGGGAAATATGGTCATTGAAACAAGGATACCTTGGTCAAAAGAAAGGGTCGGCATAAATCTAGAATAAGATTAATCTCTGCATCCTAATACTGCCTACTCTTACTCAGCTGGGTATCTGCGAAAAGCCTGTTGAGCAAAGAAGTGTTTTTAGAATCGCACCTAGTTTCATTGACTGCATCTGTGATAAGGGAAACACTAGAGACAAAGCATGCTTCATCATCTCTCTCCTCAAGCTGGCAGTTATGCTCTATTTTCCTTCTTCTTATGCTAAATATATAGACTTGAATCCCTAGGGGAGATCTTAAAATGACTCTTACTTCGCTGTGAGCAGCTCTTTAAAACAATACAATCTTTTCTCTCCTCCCATTTGCAGAGGTGGGAGAGTTAAATTGCATATTGTGGAACAAAATACAGTAGAATCCAAACTTCAGAAAAATACCATCGGTTTCCTCCATGTAGCTGAGAACCCCATTGTTTTCATTGTTAATAAACTTTACAGTTAGCCTCCAGCCCCCGC